CCTTTGTGACTGAGATACCTCCCTCAGCATAATGTCCTCCAGGGTCACCCATTTTGAATAATATTGCATGAGTTCCTTGTTTTTCAATGCAGCATAATATTCCATTGTGCGAATATACCACAGCTTCTCTACCCATTCGTTTGTTGATGGGCATTTGGGTTCATAACAACATTTTCAAACACAAAAACTATTACTGGCAAAGTACACATCTCCTATTATATCTGATGATAACTTCTTTAACAATTATGTTGTTGCTGTTGTTAGGTGCTGCTCAGTAGGGTATGACTCATATTAACTATGTAACAACAGATCTGAACCCATCTCATCATCTCAGACTAACTTGAACCCATTGTTGCAGTCAGGGTGCCAATCCATCTCATCAAGGCGCATTTTGCATGTCCATATTGACACAAAAATATTATTTTTAGCCAAAAAAATAACAAAATGAAGTAAATATTTACAAATTTTAAAAAATTTATCTTTGCTGCCAAGGCAGAACCAGCCAAACCTCTGGTGGATTTTCAAAGGCAAATCACATAGGAAGAGATTGCCTGTATTTCTCCCAAGGACCAGCTTGATGGATGTTATACTTCCATATGCTGCCTGTTGCTTTTTTATTTAAAAATATGTTTTGCATATATGTGTGTCTTTTTATCTATCTATCTATCGATCTATCTATCTATCTATCTAGTTGTTGATTGCTTTCGAGTCAAGCATGACTCATAGTGACCCTATGAATAAAAGGCTTGAAGCACCTCTACAACTGTCGACATTTATCAATGTTCATGGAGTTCCGGAGAACTGTTGTTTAGGAGTGGATGCCACTCCTGCTTCCAAGCCTGTCATAGAATGTTATTGTTGTTATGTGCCGTTGAGTCATCTGCAATGTATAGCAACCCTATATATAGCAGCTCTAAACCCTTCTCTGTCCTGAGACAGTCTCACTAATTCTGACACACCAATTCTCATTGCCCCAATCAATGTATCATTCCATCTCATCTGGTATCTTCCTCTCCTGGGCTGTCTGTCCATTCTTCCAAGCATGATGTCCTTCTCCAAGGACCAATCTTGGCCAAATGCCCAAAGTACTCCACAGCACCCCACTGTGAATACATCTTAATTTAATTACAATTAATAGAAGATATTTTCTATAAATAGGGAATATTTCACAGTTTTAGACATTGTGTAACAAAATTAATGATGGCGTTCACTTTTTATGACTGGTCTTAGTTCCATAGTGCTGTTGTAACAAAAAAATACCACACAGTGGATGCTTTTGAAGAACACATTTATAGTTCTTAAAGCTAACATCTAGACTTTAGAGTATTGCCGGAATCGGGTTGTTTCTCTCTACTAATTTCTATTGGCTACAATCTTTGGTATTTCTTTGCTACTTATAGGTACACTTGCCTCATCATCATATGGCATCCCTCCTTGCCTGTTCTTACCTTTAATACAACTGAGACAATACAAATCCTTTTTTATAAGATACCTCACAGGAGAATGTAGGAGTTTATGCCTTCCCTGCTGCAGTATAGCATTCATTAAGCCAACTGAAAAACAAAAGAAAAGCTCTACACAAGGTTGCATTCATAAAGCCGAGGGTCAAGACTTCAATATGTCTTTGAGGGGAAGAGGGGGCATGACTCAATCCATAATTTGTATTTCTGAGTCCCAGAAGTGGAATGGCTGGATGAAGCTAAAAGTACATTTGAAATTTTGATAGACAGCTGCAAAATTTTAATTCTATTTTGGTTGACCTTAACATCTCAAACACTTTTCAAAAAGTTGATTTGCTGTGGAAAGTAGAATGCTGTCATGTTTTGCTGTTGTTCTTCTTCTCGACCCACCTTATTATTTTATTTCCTTTGTGGTGGTGGTGAGAATATTCACAACATAACCTGTACTGCTTCAACAATTTCTATGTACAACTCAAATGTTATTGATTACCTTGAGTTTTGTAACTATTCTCATCCTCCTTTTTAAAAATGTTCCTCTCCTTTTATCATAAACTCAGCACCCCTAAGAGTTTCTATATAACTATTGTCAGTTTGAATTCATTAGATAAATCTTTGAAGAACACAATAGTCAAGATAGACAGTCTTACTAATAAGAATAGCAAAATTTAACAGAATAGCAAGCAACAAATGCTGGCGAGGTTGTGGAGAAACTGGAACCCTTATTCATTGTTGGTGGGAGTGTAAAATGATGCAGTCACTGTGGAAGGCAGTGTGGCGCTTTCTCAAAAAGTTGCAAATAGAGATACCATTTGATCCAGCAATTTCACTACTGGGAATATACCCCAAAGAGACCATAGCTGCCACCCAACCAGATATATGCACACCCATGGTTATCGTGGCTTTGTTCACAATAGCAAGGAGTTGAAAACAACCTAAGTGCTCATCAACAAACAAATGGATAGAGACGCTGTGGTATATTCACACAATGGAATACTACACTGCATTGAACAACAAGGAACTCATGAAATATTCAAAATGGGTGACCCTGGAGGACATTATGC